ATATATATATATATATTGATATAGTCCCATTAGAGAATCAAATGTAACTGTTCATCACCTTAAATTTGAAAGGAAATGGGCGGCACTTTTATAGAGTTATATAATGGAGAGAAACATTGGCTAATTTTGGTGTAGCCCACCTTTTCCTGCTCAGTCTACTCTCATTCTATCTCTAATTGTCTTATTGAATGAAAAAAATAAATAAAGTTGGTGTGCAAAAATAAAAAAGACAACAAAGAAATTTTAGGCAATACAGGCCTAATAATACCAAGGGCATTTCTGAGCCTCATTGTCTCCTTCCTCACTTACCACCCATTCTTTCTCTCTCCTCCTTTCTCTGTTATACCCTAACCATCACCACCTACACACACACCCACACACACACCCACACACACACACACACCCGACAGAGGGAAGAGGACTCTGATAAGCAGTCTATTGATTGGACTGAGGTAAAGTAGAGTGTGTTGGTAAGAGTGTCAGAGAGGCAGAGGAGAAGCCACAGCTCTATCAGGGCTGCTTGTCCGCAGAATCATGAGTGAGGAGGACAGCAGAGATATACAGCCACACACACAGAGAACTACACACAAACCACTATACTTGAACTAAAATGAGTTAGATTGTCTTTCTTGATGATTATAGGTAAACCTGCATTGAATCTCTCCCCCCTCTGTCTCTTATTTGCGCCTAAATAGGCTTCAGATCTTGTTTGTCTCCGCCTATAGCCCCAGAGCCGAACTGTGCACACTAAACATTCCGTTGTCTGGCTTCTGCCACTAAACAACAACAAGCGAAAGCATGTTATTCAAAGTTCTAAGTAAATAACCAATTCAGGAGCATGAGAAAAGGGACAAATCTAGGCTTAGCTAAATCCTTTTTTAATCAAACCTTGCAAGGCAACAAGCTGATCATAATGTTTTCCTGAAAATTAGAATCTAAACCTAAAAAGTTAGAGGAAGAGTAAGTAAGTAAGTAGTGTCTAGAAAAATGGAAAAGAAAGGTAACACTTCCTATAAAGTACCATCACGCTGTATGTCAAATGCTATGCTAACACAGCTTACTTGTCATATAGGCACCCCATTCCTCTTCCACATACAGTAGACCTGTAAACATTCATACAGCACACTAATTATAACTCTTACTTAATAAAACTAATCCAAAACAAGATACAAAGGTACAATACTTAAATGACCTCAAACTCTAATTTATTTTCCATCAAGTGAAAATAATCCAGTGATTCCAAGTAAGCTTGCCAGTGGCACTCTGCAAACCTGAGCCAGTAAAATACTACCCAATGCCAAACAAAACTAATTAAATGTTGTTTATTGTTGCTGCCAGCAAGCCCAAAGAGAACCACATTAAGGTGAACAACAAAACACATTGCATGGGGAAGTCTTTATTTGCAGCGTCTGCCTATTTCACACCTCAAAACCAAACTAGACTAGCTTTCTTTCCTCATTTAGCAAAACTTCTATACTTCTACCTGTATTCACATAACCTTATGATTACAAAAATGCTATCCTGTACATGTGGGTAAGAAAGGAGCAACATTTCAACAGCATTTCTAAAAACTGCTTTGTGTCAAAGAGCCTAAAGGCTTTCAACATATACAGCCAGTTTAACACTTTACAGTACTTAAATACTATACAGTGGAGTACATTAAAACAAGTAACAGTGCTTGAGCATAAAGCTCTACCTCTTGCAGCCTCTCAGTACCTTTAACATAACAAGTTAATGGCTTCTCCTGCAGCTCTCTGTTCTAGCCTTTTTTACCTCCCTTCGATGGTTCCTCATACTTGTTTGCTTGCGCTTCCTTTCTTTAACACTCTTCATTTTTCTCAGTCTCTCTCTTTTTTCCTAACATTCTCTTTTCTCCCTCACGCTCTTCATTAACCCTCCTTTTTTTCTTTCCAAGGCTGGCCACTCCCCATCCTCCCCTCACTCTTCTCGTCTCATCTCTCCTCTCACTGACCCCCTTTTGTCTTATCCTCATCTTGTCTCTTCTCGTCATTAAGAGTCACACTGTGTCTCCCTGGCAGCAGTGTGAGATCTGCCAAGGTAAGGCAATTAAAGTGACAACAGATTGGAACAGACTGGGAGAACAACAGAGTAAATTGAGGGAAGGGCTTGTAGCAGAGCTGGGCGTAGCTGGTAACAGAATGTGCTAATTGTGAGCAAGTGCTGTGTGACTGATGTTGCATTGTCTTGTCTGATTGCTACAAGACCTTTGAGCAAAATGCACAATACAAATGTTCAAGCAAGTGATCTAGTGTGCCTCCACTACAGATTGCTATAAAGTGCTTTAAGTGACATCTGTTAAGGTAGAGAGTAGTGAGAAAGAGCTAAGAAAATAACCTCACTGTGCTTGTAGTATACAAAAGGTTAAATAAACATATATTTAACCAAATAATTTGATAAGTGACCAGAAATGAAGAGAAGTAATATTTTCTTAATTTTAATTTTATTAGTGATTTTTC